AAAAAAAAAGAAAAAAAATTGTGTTATATTTGGTTAATCTATAACCAAATTAACTTTATTTTTATTTTTATAATTAGATTTTATCTTAAAGCTTTGGTTTTGTCTTCAATTTTGTCTTTATTTATTTATTTATTTATTTTTGGGGTCTTTATCTTCTTCTTCTTCTTCTCTCTATTTCTTTTTTCTATTAAACAATTTTTTGTAAGATTTGGAGTTTAACGACAAATTTGATTTTTAGCATGGTCTAGAATTTTCTTTAAGGAAATTATATATTTTCATTTTTAGAAATTAAAAAGTATTAAGATAAATACATTGTAAGTCATGCAAATTTTAAAACTATTTCTCAATATTAAAATTACAACAACCGTCTTTAATAGGTTATTGAACTTTGATATATTTAATATTTATTTAAAATTAACGCAACTATTAGACGAAGAAGTGAATTTGCTTTAAAAGTTCGGAGACGTATTAGATTCTAAATTGAAAATTTAAGAACCTTTTAGATACTTTTTAAAGTTCAATAACTTATTAGGTAGTTCTGGGACTTAACAGACACAAAAAACTTGTAATTTAACTCATTTTTAATTTACAAAATATTATGTTACTTTTATGAGTGTATTTTTAAAAATAAAAAAATTATTTGAAAATGTTGAAAAACCTCAATAAATAAGGGATAGAAAGTCAAAAGTGGTAAACTAATATTTCAATCCAGTGGACTTTATAAGAACATAAAATAGTCAATGCAAATTGCAAAACCTATATAATGGCAAATGCTTTCAATGGGTGTTTTTTCTTTAGTTTAATTTTTCTATATTCAATTTTCTTTGAATGGTTATTAGGACTTTGTGTTATGATTATTGATGTAGCAAGAAAGTCATCTAAGAGAGAGAGGGTAGAGAGAGAATATAGAAAATTAATTTTGAAGTTTTTACTTAAAAAGATATCGAGAATTTTTATTATTTGACTTTCCACACGAATTCTAGTCCCTAAACTTTTTAAAATAATCATTTTAGTATGTAATATTATTCTTACACATTAAAGTGTTAAGAAAAAGCTGATCAAATCAACCCAACTCAACCCATATCGTTTGAGTTAGCTTATCAATAAATTTAAGTTGAATTTAACCAACCCAAACTTATTATTAATTTTATGATCATTTCTTTTATTTACCATATAAAATTATATATAGATATATTAATTTGACTTTATTTAATTCAATAATTATTTATGCATTATTTATTCTCTGACAACTTTTAAAAATAACTTCTAATGTTTTTTTAACGTAATTTTTCACCATATAAATAAACATGGACTTATAGATCTTAATTCAATGTTATAAAATATGTAAATAAAATTCTAACATATTAGCATTTATTTTTTTTTGTTATATAATATTTTGAATGAGTGACTCGAATTATCTAAACCAACCCAAAATATTTCATGGTTGAGTTTAATTTGAGTTCATTATTGAACAGGGTCGTTTAGTTGAATAGATTTACAACTGGAATAATTGGGTTGGATCTAAAAAGTACTTCAATCCAACCCAACTCATAAACACCTCAATACATATATTCAAATCCACAGCATCAATGGCTAAAAAATTGTTTTTTCTTAATACATCAAATTGGGGGTAAGAGATTTCAAACATCCAACTTCTCAGAGAATCCATTGATCCCTAGTTATGTTTGTAATTAGATAAAAAAAATTACGGATAGAGTAACAATAATGACCCATATATATTTAAGTTTAGAGATTAATATTAAAATTTTAAAAGTATGAAGAGTAAGATAAAATAAATTTTTTCTTCAAAAATAAAATAAATGAAATAAAAAAAATCTTTTTTGATACGAATAAAAAAAAGGGTTAAAGTTCAAGAAAAGGATGAAATTTAAACTTTTATTCTATTTTGGTTTATAGACGGGCAAGATTTATTTTAATTTAGAGTTTAAACTTTCAAAGATTTATTTTAGACTCTAATTTCTCCTTAAAAAAACATTTTTGTCATGGTTATTTTCTTATCATTTTATATCCTTACCTCATCCACTTTATATGAGTTCAATTAATTCACAAATTTAATTCCGCATACCATTAGTTAAATATTTGACGACAAAATAATAGTAATAATAGCAATAGTTATATCTAAAAAAAAATTAAAGATTAAGATACATATTTAAAAATTTATAAACCAACAAAATAAATTTAAAAGATAAAAATAAGATTTAATGCTCAATTAATTATGATTTATCCCATTTGGTGGAAACGTAATGGTGAGAGATAAAACTTCCTGACGTTTCCATTTGCCAATTGGTGTAATAATTGATTTTTTTCTTTATTTTATTTTATTAATAGTTTATTTCATTCTATTAAAATTTAAAGTTGGCATTGTGAATAATCTAAATTGATTCGTTTTTCTGAATTTATACTTTGAAATAATTCCTATTATAAAAATCAAACTATATAAAAATAATTTTGATCATGTGAAAAATACTTTTAAACATACCTTAATATTTTTCAATGATATAAAAGTGATTTTAGAAAATGACAAAAGTAATTCTAATGGTACCAAAATCACTCACAAGCATGTCATAAATAAAGTGAGATATGTTATTTTTGAGTTAAAAAAGAACGTCATAGAACGATACATATAAGAATGATTGAACAATAGATTTTATTGGAAAATTATGTGGTGTAGATTTTACAAAATTATTTTTAAAATATAAAGGCACGTCGTCCAACAAATTTGAGATTTGGAAATTGTGAACTTTCCAACAAATTTATATGCAGTTACAAATTTAGTCCGTGAACTTTTGATATTTGGTATTTTTAGTCTCTAATCGATAGCAACTTTCTTATTTACATCTTGAATTTTCAATTTTGATTATAATAAGTTATATTGTCATTACTTACTTTACTCAAATATGTTGACATGTCACTCTCAACTAAGGAATGATGAATTGACATAATGTACACTAGAGTGAGCATAATTCAGCGATAATTGACATATATATCAAATCAAGAGGTTGTGAGTTTGATTTCTCACCCCCACATGTTGTACTAAAAAAAGTGTACTACATCAATATTTAAGTAATAATATTCACGATATAGAGTTATTATTGGAATCAAAATTGAGAGTTCATAAACGTAATCACAATTTTGACGAGTTTAGAGACTAAGTTTCTTTGTAATTTGACCTAAAAACAACTATAGTTTACCCTTATAATTAGGGGTGGAATAGAGCTTGCCACATGACCTTATCGTTAGGAAATGTGTCTGAGCTTCAGCTTGGATAGACTAAGAACGAGACGAGCCAGGAAAAGTTACCTCTAACTGACCCAATGAATGCTCAATTTGGCATTGACCTGAAAACACGGATGCCACAAGCATAAATTTGCTAAACATTAAGTATTAAAACACTGAAATGACACATTACATGTTTCCCCCTGTAAAAGACATGACCATTTCCTCTAAAGGTATACAATTTCTACGCAACTTCAATAAGATCGATTTGACACCAGATCGAACTAAGTGCTAACTTAAACTTTATAGTGTATGTGAACGAATACCACACCAATACAAGATTCTCACCTCGTGTCAAAAACCGACCCATCACCTTGTCTAGCATTAAACACTTATCTCTTGTGCAATTGAAGGCTTTGTAGAATGGGAGAATGGAGTGGGCTGATGATTCACATAGTTTATTAGGTCCAAAGCATAAGCAATAGGAGTCTAAATTTTAACCTAAATAAATACATTGCCATGTGATTGTCTCTACTTTCAAAATATTTGTTTTTTTTTCCTTCTTTTTTCTTTTAGGCCACTTCTCTTCTATGTGCATGCATCCCACCTCAGCCACTTAACTTGAAAATTTTATTAATTAAAATGGCAATATGCCTCATACCATGCCTATTTTTGGAAATTATTAAAAGTACTTTTTTAATAAAAAAAACATTATTAAGATGTTGTCCCTTTCACAAAAAGTAAATATGTTTTTTGTATTAAAAAAACCTACCTGTTTTCAAGTCGGGCTTTAGAACAAGTTTATGTTTTAAAAAATAAAAAAATAACTATTTTTTTTATAGGGAAAACTTGTTTGATAGAATAAGTTTTAAGTTATATTTTTCAAACAAAAAAATGAAACATTTTGTTGGATACATGTTTTGTAAATTAATTATTCATATATAATTATTTATTATCTTTTTTTAAGTATGACTTGATTTAAATGTATTATATCTAAAAAATAATAAAAAACATAAAATAAATTATAAGTGCGTTGGGTAACAATTCTTGTTTATTTTTATGTTATATTTATTATGCATTTTATAAGTAAAATATGATAAAAGAGTTAGTTTTTATTCAATGTTTGAAAAAAAATTGAAACAACAACCAAACACTTTGAGAAACAGTAATCAAATACTTATATTTCTCAAAAAAGTTAGAAATTAAAAAGTAAATTCAAAATTTGGTATACAAAAGAATTTTAAAAAAAGAAAGTTAGATCCAAACAATCCCTTAATTTTTTAAAGGTTAGAGAAAATCCCATTCTAGACGGTGTATAAAATAACGTGCTATTGTATTAGGTGTTTGTTCAATAGATAATTTTGTCTCTTTTATAATTCTTTTTTCTAAAACAATTTTTTTTTTTAATATTACCAACCTAAACCTAACAACTCACTAAGAAAACCTCTTTTTTTTTTTTAATGGTAATATATATTTTTTTAACTCTTGATATTAATCTATTTTTTTCACCTCTAATAGAAAGTAGAGATAACCTAAGATCGATTTTTTTTCCCTTTCATTGAAAGAATATTCATATTATTATATTACATACAAAAATTACATCGAAACACATCAGAAAATTCAGTTTATAAAAAATATGAACTAAAACTTGGCCTCTCTGAACCTCAGTTTTGAATGGGGGATTCAGAAGAGCTCCAGCAACATTCATAGCTTCAATTGGCACAAAAATCAACATTTTTGAAAAATTAACGTATCATCAACATTCAACACCACAAATTTTTGCAACGTTTCTTAATGTACAAAAATTGGGAAGTAGAAAAAATTATACAATGAAATTGACCAGAAAAATTGTCTGCTCAGGAGAGCTGAATCATGGTCCAAGTCATTCTGTAGATGGTGAGGATAATGAGAGATTCAAGAGGAAACCCGCCATGATACCGACAATGCCCACGAAGATGGCGAAAGTAAATGAGAAGCCAGGATCGCTTTTTCGATATTTTCGTCTCTTCAGCATGTCCTATTGGGAAGTAATTGGTACATAAAGCATTAAAGTTGTTATCTACATTCTACAGTGATTTGGAAGAAACATTGACAATATTTTTTCCCTCTTTGATAACAATTATCTTCGATAATTTAAATCCATGATATCTCAAGGACCTAGACTTGAGGTGGCCAGAACCTCCCAAGTATTAGTAGGGTGGTCATAAGCATAATGCAAAAGCAAAAAAAAAAAAAAATCAACAGATCCATGTGGTAAGGGTAGGAACTAAGAACCAAATAAATATTGAACACAAAAAATGTAATGTCAAATGAATGATAACAGCTCTCCTCAAGGAAATATGAAATGCACATATCATCCATGTTCAAGTATATATGCAATTCTATGAATTTGACATGCCAGATTTATAGGATACAACCTAATAATAGATCAAACCAACTACCATTGATGATACTGGACCCCACCTTGCTCATTTCCCTACATAAATCTTCTCACTCAGAGCCCTATGCTATTAATCATTATAAGGTTGTTAAATTATTAATTGAAACGTCTATAGTTTTTTAATCTCGAATTAATAAAATGCACGTTAACAATTTTGCGCAATCCTACTATTCATCTGCTGGAAATGTACAACTGGGAATTTCAGACAACTAATAACATATGAATATCCATTGAACAAGTTCAACAACATTTGGACTTTACAAGTCCTACATCAGCAAAGAAGCACAACTTCAAACCTAAGAAGCATAATAGAGAAAACGGGTGTAACTCACCAGTTCCTGTTGTAATTGATGTGTTTGCCTAATAGCCATGTCTCTTTCTTCCTTCAGACGTTGTAAAGCCTGATGATGGACCCCGATAAGGAAATATAATAACAATCTATATTTCACTTGTTGAAAACTTGGAATAGTAAAAAGCAAGCCTATAGAAGTTTTATGATTGATAAAGCCTTAAAAATAGCTTAAATTCTGATAGACCCTGATTACGAAGGTGCAAGGTTGTAAAATGTAAAAGAATGAAAGGGAAGATACGTGATAATGTGTAATAGTTGGGTGTTAGTTGAGTGTGCTTGTGGATACTCGAGTGAGGCCCTTGAGTATTAGTTACAGAGAGAGATTCTGGAGGGCACTTTTTGAGTGAATGGTCATCTTGTACTCAGATTGAGTCGAGAGGGGAGGGATACATAAATAATCTGATTTCTAGGCAAACAGCAGCTTAAGGATGTGTAGACGACTATTGGACACCATATCTAGAACCAATATTTAATAAAGAGGAGGCAGCATAAATAAAAAGGATGTTTCAAATTTCTTATCTCAACCTATATCTATTGCAAGTACACAGTTACATTATAACATAGTAATTTAGGGGACAAAGTAAAAGGTCTAAAAGAGATATATTAATGCAGGGGACAAAAAAGAGAATTTCAGCACTCACAGAGGAGCTTTGGGATGAGTTCCTTTCATCTTCTGAGTTCCCTAAAGCTGATGAAGGAGAAAAATAGATAACCTTAAGCTTGCATTCCTCAATTGCCCTTCCACTTTCCTTGTTGAACTGAAAAACGAGGAAATAAAGTTTCCATGATGCTTATTAGAATGAAATGGTATATTCATTCAAATGGAGGCCGCACAAGTCAAAACTTACAGCATCAGCCGGAAGCTCATCTACATCAGTATTTGGAGGGACTATTGTACTTTGTAAGAGAAACTTATCTTTGCAATGCATATCTGGAGGATACTCGCGCTGCGCTTGGAGGGTCACTGTGGATCCAGCAGCAACAATGGCATTAGTTAAACAGGTAAAGACAAACCTTGAGGAATCCAGAGAGAAAACTGGAGTGCAAATAATAGTTAGGTACTTAGGTTTGCTGTTAGTAGCAGTTAACGTCGCTCGTGCAAAGGAAAAAATTATTTGTCAAGGGCACCTACTAGTTTTACTTTTACATGAGGCAGTAAAATGTACTACAATTTTCCAATTTCAAAATGAACCAACATTAATTTGATTGCAAGCTTGAACCATAAATTAAAATCAAGGAGAAGAAATAACGGTTTGCCATTTCATTGCAATTGCATCCTCAAATTTTTCGACATTGTGCAAAAAAAATTATTTGAAATTTATAGAACCAAAATGCTAATGTAACAATTAAGACCTCTTATGATGCAAGAATCCCAAGGCTGTACAACACCAGTGTTGGGACGCACAAAGTACTTCTTGGGTGAGGTCGTTTTGACCTAGCATGAGCGATAGAGAAGTACATTTGAATTTAGTCCAATATAAAACATGCAAAAAGCTTTCCAAAATAAATATTCAATATCAAATGTATGTGCATTTTCATTAATTAAAAAAAAAAAGAAAAAGAAAAGAAAACTATTACCTTAAAGGCAACATGATGTTCTGTGTTGTTTGCAACTTTAAGATCACAAAAGCTCTGCTTGTCCAACTCAACTGATGATATGGGTCCCATGTTCATAAGTTCAAAACACAAAAAAGTCCACCAGGAAAATAGTTGTAACAAAGTCGCATATAATGGCACAACAAAACTTCACCCATGAACAAACAAAACCACTAGCTGAACATCCTTATCTTTTTCTTTGATACAATGGGTTGCATAACATATGGATACGTAAGTGTTCTTTAATTCTTTCCTGAACCCAGTCTTTTCTAGACTCCATGGATTTAACTTCTAAGCATGCCATGGATAATACGAAAAGACTTTCAAACATTGAAAAAAAGACATCAAAAATAAAAATAAACAATGTATACATTTTCAAGTGGTGTAAAAACTTCATATACCAAAAATATATAAACGTCTGCCAGGAAATAGCTTAATATCCCAACCATGGGTACGGAATACAACAGAGTATCCACTTGAGGAGTTCAATGACCAAACACCAAACATGAGCCATGATAAGTGCATCCAGTCTTAACCAGCTCAGCAATTATCAGCACTTATATGACAATGCCATAATTTAGACCTTATTTTCGTTCATAAGAGGCTTATGCCTCACACAGGAAAGGCTTACACCTCCATGAAAATACCTTGATGGACAAAAGGGAATTAGTACTTTAAATTGTAACACTCGATGAGAGGAAATTGGAAGTGTCACTGAGTTATTGAGGTATTTCAGCATGTTAGGTTTCAGAAAAATTTCCTCGTATGAAATCATCAACAACCATTATTAAATAAAACAACATGGACAGCAACTCCTTCCTCCCTCCACCTAAATCCATAGCCTAAAATTCAAATTTCTTCAACCCCACGACAAGAATGAACAAGATCAATCAGCCCTAACCAAAAACCAGCCAAGATTCAAGAAATAATCCACAAAGTTACATACTCTGGAACTTGAGCTCATCCGGTTGCACGGAGATTAAGCGATTCCCACCTCCAGCACTCATGACGGTGACGAAATCAGATTTTACAAATTCCACTCTACGAGGCGGCAACCATCAAAGGCAAGCACGAACAAAAAGAAAAACAATACCCTACAAATGGAAATGCGAGTGTTGTGAAAGAGGGAGAAAAAAAGAGAATTATAAATGAAAGACAGAGAGAAGTAAAAATACAAGAGAGAGTGGAAAAGGCAAAAGAAAGAAAAACGAGAGAGAGAGAGATTAAACCAGAGAGAAAATTGTGGTGGAGCGAATGGAGAGGAGAGTGGGGAATGGGGATTGATGGGTCAAAATTGTTCTAACGAAACATTAGGGTTCGAAAATTGAGGCAGCGGAGCAGGAATCGGATCGCGCTCAGGAGAGAGTGAAATATGGCCGAACGAAGAGAGAGAGAGCGAAAAGAGAGCTCCTCCGATGGCTACTGCAGAGCTTCTTCTTTCACTTGCAATGGCAGCCAGAGAGAGAGAGAGAGTGGGACACGTGTCACGAGGAGAGAGAGAGTGACGTCCGGTTCAAAAGGAAGTGGGATTTTTGTCTACCAGACTGTAAGTGGGCCCCACTGACGTGGCACCTTATTCAATAAGAAGGTTGACGTGTCACGTTCTCTTTTTCTCTTTATTTATTTATTTATTTTTATTTAGTTATTCGTTTCGTTCGTTCGCGGGATATGGTTGGTTGTTTTTGTTTAATATTCAGTTACATGATTACGAGCACTATTTATGGGGATATTATTTTATTTGTTGGATCTTATATATAGTTATGCCATCAAATAATAATAATAATAATAATAGAAAATTTACGAAAATCACTCTCTAATTGTATTGTTGTTATGATCGGATTTGATCACGTATAATTTCGAGCATTGGTGACGTTTTTCATTCCTGTATTCTTAGGATTCTATTGTTATAGTTACTTAGCTAGTATAAATTGCTTGTATCGATTATTGCGCTTTCTCTATATTCTTTTATTGTATGTTTGGATTCTATTTCCCTACATAAATGTGGAATGCAAACTCCACCATAGAGGTTGAGTACGTTACAGCTTGTGAAGTAGCAAAAGAAGCGGTTTGACTTAGGAAGTTCTTAACTGATTTGGAAGTTATTCCAAACATGAACTTGCCTATCACACTTTATTGTTATAATAGTGATGTTGTTGCAAATTCTAAAGAACCTCGAAGCCACAAGAGACAAGCATATCGAAAGGAAGTACCACCTTATATGGGAAATAGTGTAACGAGGCGATGTGATCGTCACAAAAATCGCTTCGGAGGACAACATTACTGATCCTTTTATGAAAGCGCTCACTGTTTGAGGGCCATCTAGAAAGTCTAGGTCTACAAGCATTGTACAAAGTGGGAGAAATGTAATGGGTATAGTGTATGTGATAAGACTTGATTTAATGCTAAAAAGTGTAGGTTTGCAGAGACTTCGAAAGATTCTCAAAGCGAGCCACCTGAATGACAGAATTAAGGAACGACTTGGGCCTAGTACTTGGGCTGGCAGATGTGACAAGACCGTTCGAAGTAGAGGCTGATGCTTTGAACTATGTGTTAGGCGGCATTCTCCTCCAAGATAGTCATCTTATTACTTACGAAAGTCGTAAGCTGAACAACGCATAACGTCTAAAGTATTGTGTTTGTTGGCATTAGGTTGAGTGGAATTGGACTGTTTTTCAGGTTGGCAGCAGGGTAATCATTTCCATCTATAATAAGAGTACTTTGAAGTTTCAATTTGATCAATCATCCTATAAACTTATTAAATTATTGTAATTAAACCTTTAAATATTGCAAGATGCACCCTATCACTCATAAACAAGTGTTGTCACAATCAAATTCTTGAATTATAAGGTTGTTAATAATGAAACTCAAATCTTTTGTTTTATTAGACTCAACATCAATTTAAAAAATCAAACTTTTCAATGGTGAATATTATAGTTTTTAAATTTTATTGAATTGAAAAAAAAAGAAACTTTGTTGAAATGTAACAACGTTTAAGAGTTTAATGATCTCAGATTGATCAAATTGTAAATTTTTTAATTAATTGAAATATTTATAAAAAAATGAAAGTGAAATATGAGCTTCAACTTAACTGTTAAAGACATATTGATATGTAGACTCAACCTGGTTTAATTGATTAAATAAATAAATAAATAAAATCCATCTCTTAAAATATGAATACCCATCCCACTCCATTGAATATAAAAATATAAATATATGGTACATATTTAAATCACTATTAAAAAATTATGATTTTGATAAATAACTTTATTTGTCATTATGGTAGGTTTTGAGTATGGAATTTAATTAAAGAACAACATCATGTAATAATTAAATACTTTAAAGTTGAGAGCTTATAGCATATAAAATCGTTATCATATTTGCAAAATATAGTTTGTCGAGAAGCTGAGAGATTGTAACGTTAGTCAGCCATATTTTTCAACGAGTTAAGAATATTTATTATGATAACACAAGGCCATAACTCTCATAAACTATATATATATTTTTAATAAGATTGCGACTACCCAAAAAAATATATTTAAGAAAACTACCAAACAAGTTATTGTTTATACAATAATTAATTAATTTTCTATATATGATATATGGTTTTTTAATAATTTAAAGATCCAACCCATGAACTACAATAATTAGTGTAGTTATTGAAGGGAGCAAACTTTGCTGGCTTCCCTCTCCAAAAGGCCTTTTTTAAATGCCTTTTTCTTATTTTATGCTAAGGATTTTAAAATACACAACTTTACAAGAAAAAGTGAGATTTACAGAGAATAAACAGACCTGAAAAAAAAAAGTGGTAGAAACAAAATAAGTCACCAATGAAACTAAAGCAAATAAACTGAACATTAAAAAAAAAAAAAACAAATGTAGACACAGCACAACATAATAACTTATTTATGAAAATAAATCCTAAGCAGACCTTATCCATGGTCGAGAGCTAGAACGAGCTTCATCTCGCCAAGCAGTAGGCATGAGCATAAACATCACTCCAAATGTATAAGGCCGGACAAGAAACATCCCATATATCTTGAATGTTTGTTTATTTTTTATTTTTTGCTAAATATATAATTTTATCCCTAAACTATGTCATTTTCGATTCTATCACATCACATAATCATGGACGAACTTATGTCCTTTCAAAATATCTATTTTAGTTATTATACTTTTAACTTTTGTTCATTTTAGTCTCTAAACGTCCATTTTGATACCTACACTTTTAAAAGTAATTATTTTGGTCCCTATTTGCAAAATTTTAACACAAAATTTATACACAATGAAAACATCTACATTTCAAAAAAACTAATAAGTGAAATGTCATACTAAACTTTTTATCGAAATAAATAAGATAAAAATGAATCGACAAAATGTCACTTTTAGAAGATACAAAGACCAAAATAATCCTTTTGAAAATACAAGAACTAAAATGAACAAAATTTTAAAATATATGAACCAAAATAGACGGTTTCAAAATATAATGACCAAAAATACAGAAACCAAATTAATATTTAAACTTTATCCATAAAATTTAAAATTTTGTAACAATAAAAGCTCAATTGTTATCCATTAGAATTGAATTTCCAAAACTTTAGCTTTGGTGAAAATGAGTTGAAAGTTTCATAAGTTGATAAAAAAAAGCTCATTCTTTTGAACAATGTTATGTCTATTCATTGATCAAACAAACAAAAGTGACTTTATTTTGTCTTCAATAATGGGAAAAAACAAAATTAAAAGAGAAAAAAAAAAGCCATTGTTTATAGTGGCCAATCATTTCTCGACGATTGAAACTCAATTTCTTCCCCTCAACCCTCTCATATCCACCTTCATAAATCCACATCAGTCCCCTCCCAACAATTCATTCTCAAAATCCATATGCCAGTGACTTACAGAACGGTCTCGAGAGGACTTCTTCGCATCGGTGAAATGAATCTCTGTCATTTTTTCCAATAAGTCGACGGCGTTACACCATTGGGATAGAAGACTGAGTCCTCTTCGGGGCCGAACTCCGTTTGCTAGTGAAGTTCCTGGGTTGGTTTGGCCTGTCCCTGCGAGAACTCCGGCCGGGATCGATAAGTGGAAGTCATAAAAAAAGATTTTCAATTCTAGAGAAAAGCAAGGTCTGGCGAATCTCGATTTGTCTCAAATATGTGTCTAAGGTACCCTTTTTTAGTTGCTCTCCGTATGGGTAAAGAAAAGGGCTGGGCAAGTAAGAATCCTAAAGAGCCTCGCCTAAAGGACCAGACCCGATTGAATCTTGATTGAAATCCTGGCGATATACCAAACCGTTTTCTAGCGTAACTGCGTTGAAACGTAACAAAATCTTACGGTCCCGAACTTGCTAAAGAATCAAAGTGTGAATGGCACTTTGATGAAGAAAGAATTTCCTTCGTAATTAAGCAACCGCGAAGGATACAGAGCGTTTAGGCTAATGAGAATCGAATTCTAAACCGACGTGGCAGGTTCCAAACCTCACCCTTGATAAAAAGAGAAAGGGAAAATGTAAAGACTACCATTAAAGCAGCCCAAGCGAGACTTACCATATCCATGTGAATTATGTCCCCTATCTCTATGAATATAAAAGAATTATTCCATTATTGCTCACTAATAATTATTATTCACTAATAATAGTGGAATCACTAGCGCATAGTCAAAAAGAGATTCGGGCACAACATCATTGATGAAACAATCAATCCGGAATATGAACCGAAAAAKAAAAGACCTATTGAACCGATCATTGGTCACATTTTATTCATGAAATGGGTTGGATTGATATTAGTCTGGATACAGCAAATACCCACATTCTAATTATAGGTTTCCTTCGCCACCCCTTTGATCCTACAAAGCAAGAGTCGGTCGTTCCGAGCCGGAAAGCGTATCAAAGTCTAGTCCTTATGCGCCATCTCTACCAATGATGAAATCAAAATGAGGTTTGTCCCTCCTGCGTCTGCAGCTGTTGCTCACCCGACACGATCGTACGAGGCCAGCACAGTAGATGTCTTTACGGGACGCCGTGTCTGCTTCAACTTCACCCGTCACTCATGTCGTCTCACTGGCCGACCTTGACCACTGTTATTTTGAGATCATATCTAGTATTCAGAGTTTACCTCGATTTGGTACCGCTCTCGCGGCCCGCACCGAAACAGTACTTTACCCTTAGATGTCCAGTCAACTGCTGCGCCTCAACGCATTTCGGGGAGAACCAGCTAG